ATGTGGGATCTCACTTATAGGCACTCTGTATGTTAAAAAAATTAGCCTTTTGTGATAAAGGTAGTGATTTTGCCCAGTTTCTTGGTGTTTTGTGTTTTTTCCCAACCAAGTTGTTACTTTAACATTTTATGTAATCAGATTTATCGATCACATATGTACCTTTTGCATCTTGTTTTTCTAGATTCTGATTTGAAATCATCATAAATTCATTGAAGTACAGAAGGTCTCTGTACCTTTCACCCAGTTTCCACTGAAGGTTATAGTACAGAAACCAAGATATTGATTTGGATACAATGTGTGTCCCCTGCTGCTTTGTAACATGTGCAGATATGTGTAACTACTACAAAGTTCTCCCTCCTGCTACCTCTTTTTATACTCAGACCCACCTCTTCCTCCCCACCATCCCTAACCCTTGGGAACCACTAACTTGTTCCTGGTTTCTATGATTTTGTCAATTCAAGAATGTTATGTAAGTGGAAACACAGGGTATGTGAACTTCAGAGTTTGGCTTTTTTCATTCTACCCATCCCAGACTCCCAATTCTAACTCTTGTTCCCCAGCTTTCTGTTAAGTGTTGAATTTTTCTGCTTTGTAACTCTGGTAGTTTTTTCTTTTTTTCTTTATTGTCAGAAGGTGCCTACTATTTCCAGAGAGAGACATAGGGCACTACCCAATGAGGCGTGGTCACATTGAAATCTCCCTCCCATGACCTCCATCTTGTCAGAATTTGGGGTACTACACACACATACCGAGCATATTATCAAGCTGCAGACAGGGACACCACTTGAAACATGATTGGTTGTTTATGACCCAAGCATCCAGCACTTAACTGCTGTGCAATGGAGCTGGCCGTCCCTGGGAGATGTCAACTGGGTGTCAGATGTGTGCATCCTTCCTTGAGTGCTGGATATCTGCATCCTTTGTGGGACCCTGGAGCTGTGTTCTGGGATGCTATCAGCTGAGTTGGATTCCTTGGAGTCTTGCCTGGAAGGCGTGCTGTGGCATGGAGCCCAAGCAGCTCTTAGTGTCAGAATAATGTTCCCACCCTATGGAGGCAAGGCCTTCTGAGCACCCTGCCAGGTGCCTCCCAATGAGGAGATCTCCAACCTGAAGGGTAGGGACAGCCATTGGGCCTGTGCTGCTCCACGCCGGGCACTCCCTTACATTTCATCCTCTCAGGGCAGGCCTGGGCCTCCTCAGGTGATGTCCTGGTGTACAGTGCTCATCAGTGGCCCACTGAATGCTCAGGTAGCCCCGCTGCACCTGTCCGGGTTCTCTCCCTCCACAGCTGTCTTCTGTCTGGTCCTCTGCCCTGCAAACCTGGGCCACCAGGACTCTGAATCAGAGTTTCATCTCTCAAAGCCCAGTTGTCCACCGGCCTCCACCAGGGAACTCTTGTGTGCATGCACTCTCTCCTCTCTCCTTTTTTGGGGTGCGTCCTTTATAGACATGAATTACCGACGGACTGATGAGAAAGATCTCTGATGACAGTATCTACTTGGCTCTTCCTCTTCATTCTCCCACTGTGGTTCTATTAGTGTCTGTTTGTTTCTGAAGGATGTTTCCCTCCCCGGGGTTATACATGCTCCATTTCCCTACCTCTGGCTTAGTTTCCCTGACCTCAGGATGTGGAGAGTTTAAACCGTTCCCACCACTGTCCTCTGCTCTGTCGGGCTGGTTCTTCCTTGGCCAACTGAAGGCACTGGTATCATCCTGGGACTTCCCTTTGTCCTGAGCTGGAACCTCAGTTCATGAATACATCATGATGGAAATGGGACTTGGATCGGGACGGGGCAGTGGAGGTGAGAAGGAAGCAGACTTAATTGGTCTCCAAGGTAGAGCCTACCCAGTCTGCTGAGGAGTCAGCCCTGTGATGAGTCCCCCTTACTCCCCCACAGGGGTCTGGCCCACCCAGAGTCCAGTGGATCTACCTGCCTGCCCCCACAGACCAAGCAACACAAGGACTCCATTTTCCCAACATTTACTTAGGAAAAAAACTACATGAATGAAGGAAAACTCATGCAACAAAAGAGGAGGAAATTAGAGGTCTGGGACTGCAAGATGGGGCCAGGTTCCTCAGAGGAGGCAGAAGACACGAAGCAGTAAGGCACTGCTGCCTTGGCCCCTCAGGGCAGGCGCACACAAGACAGCTGGGGAACAAGGCCAGTGCTGACAACACCAAGGGAGCACCCTAGCCCAGTCCCCAGGAAAGCCTGGGTATGGCCTTCTGGGTGCTCAGAGAATGGGGCCCATGAAAACGTAGAGTCCAATGCCCAAGATGTTTGGAGGAGGACCCTGTAGCCCAGCTTGGTACAGCCACAGTCTGAGGGCGGCTTCAGATTTGTCACCACACCCCAAGTGCTGCTGGCACCCAGGACCCCTTCTCAGGACAGGTGGGCCGGCCACAGCTAGGTGAGGCAGTGTCACAAAGAGCAACTCAAGGAGAAGGTGGTGAGGGGGTTGGCATCATCCCATGGGGGCACTTCCCATGAGACAGAGACTGAGGTGGAGTTCAATGAAATAAATAGGTGGCTGGGGCTATAAATAGCAAGGAGGGTAGGGGCTAGCCCGTGCCTGGGCACGAGGGTGGGGGTATTGCTGCTGCTGGGTTGGGGGCTTGGTCCTGTCGCACCCCTGCCCCCCGCCGGGGCCAAAGCAAGGCACTAA